AGCATTCGATTTTCAAATAATCAATATGCTACCTTAAGCCCATGATTTAAAGAAGTAAGCTTTAGGTAGCCTTTGATTTTCAAGTAATGAAGATGCTACCTTATGGTCATGAATTAAGTTAAGTTTACAAAAAACCAAGAACAAATTGAGGACAAAGAATCTAGAGCAAGGATCAAGAAACTAGAACAAGGACCAAGGTCCAAGTTCTCCGACTAAAAACCTAAAACCTCAAAGTTAAGGTCCTTAGATGAGAATCATGTTTAAGAACTCAAAACTTAGGATCAAGTTCCTCGTACTAAAATAAGGATAAGAACTAAAAACTTAAGAACAGAACCTAGAACCAAAGTTCTTAACATAAGAACAAGACAAGAAATGAATGTGGTACCTTAGCACCCTCATGAACGAGATTAAGTACCTAGAAGTAGGCTACTTTTAGGCATTCAAGTTTCCTCATATTTTTCAAATGAAAAGAACGAACTAGTCAATGATGAAAACGAATTTAGAGCAGGTGCCATACAGAGTCACACCGTGTTTCAATTATTTTAATGCTTTAAATTGTTTTGTTTATGAGGCTTAATGTATTCAAACTCATACTTTTTTTTTTTAATTGTTAAATAAAATGTATTTTATGTTTTTGTTTTAAATGTAAAATTTTTACCACCCTTTATCGTCTTTTTATCTTTCAACTCGATGAATAACTGCTAGACTTTGATAGGGTCCATAACATGTAAGAGAACTAGTTGTATAACTTGGTCTAAACTTCCTATAGCCTAGAAAAAGCTTATGATAACTTACTAGGTTAAAGGATTCGATGAGAATCTACAAATATGTTGCGTACTAAATATTTTTATATTTACCCCTTTTCTTTATTTTTTTAGGGGTTTGCAGATTGCTAGTTGAGGTGAGAGAGCATCCGAGAGCTACGCGGTCACACGGGAATCGTCTCGGGTATCAATCTGTTTTTGTATTTGGGACCTTTTGTATTTTATTCGTAAATGTGTCCAAAATATGTTCTCTATGTCATGAACTTTAAAAATGTGGTTGGTAGTTAGGTTTCCTTTTATTTTTAATTGGGGTGTTATTTACTTTCAGTTTGATTTAAATTTTACCGTATTTTATTTTATTTTAGTTTATGTCTTGTCTTTTTCGTCAATCCAAGTTTTTAAGTTTCAAAATTTAGGTAAATTTAGGTCTCGACAAATATATTAGATATATTAAATATAAAAGGAGAAAAATATATTTAACTAAAATGTTATATTAGATATATTAAACTTTAAAGAGATTTTTTTTTAATTTTATATATTAAATATTAAAATAATTAATATATTATATATATATATATGAAATAAAAATATATATTTAAAACTACAAGATATGTTGGCGGCTTGAAGTAGCATACAACCTAACAGTTAAGAATATTTATTGTCCCATACTTAGTACTCAACGCATCACTCAAGATTTTTGCGAGGTGTAGTAAACTTACTCGATTTACGCTTATCATGAATTTCAGACTCGTGTATAACACTTGCTCTCAATTAAATATGGTCTGTCTACTAAACTCTCTAGTGGTCTGAAGTAGCACACAGTCCGACAGTCAATATAATCGTTGTCCCTAACTCAGCACATACTGTGGCAATTAAGTTTCCGTGGGGTTTAGTAGACTAAGTACACTCACATCTGTCAAATCTCTAAATCTTATAACTTACCCACTAATCATTAATTCCTAACATGCTCATATTTTAGGCTTACAATCATAATTACTACTAATTAGGTCATGTATAAAGTGTATTTATGGTAACTAAGCTTCTAATCACATGGTGGACATGTTTAGCATCATTAACCAATTAAAACTTGCTTAAGAGCTTGATATGCTACTTGTATCGCTTAACTCCTTTCTCGTATAATATCATTAAAGTGGCTATTTTTTCTCAATTCCTTCACATTAACCTATATTCAATAATTTTTAATGGCAATGGATTAATATTGATAAAACAAGTAAAAAAGAGTCGAACAATATTGATAAAACAAGTAAAAAAGAGTCGAACGGGATAAATTAGAGCTCATCACACACCCTCTTGCACTCACCACATGCCTTCCATAATCAAACAGGTTTGCGATGGACTTGAGAACCACTTGAAACTTTGTGGTCTTCCTAGAAACTCACATAGTTGTAGAACTAGGCCCAAATTTTCTAGAGCTTAGAAAACTGTCTTGGGTAATTTATTAGAATAAAGATGCAATAAGAGTCTACAAGTAGACTAGTTACTAATGATTTTTATACTCACCCCTTTCTCAATTATTTTTCAAGAATATAAGCTACCAGTCGAGGTGGAAGAGCGTTCTAGAGCCGTGTGGTATTAGAGGGGTCATCCTAGGGCGTTAGTCCGTCTTTGTCTAGTCTTGTTGAAGTTAAGTACATCAAACTTCCCACAATTTGTTTGAAGTACCTATTATCAACCTCTTGCCCTTCAATATCCTTATGCAACTTCAAACCCAATTCTGATGGAGTTCCAAATCTGCACTCATCCATTTTAAATCTTTCAAGTAATTCTTGAGCATATTTCTTTTGACAGATAAAGTTATTCGCGAGAGTTTGAGTAACTTCTCCTCCAAGAAAATATCTCATCAAACCAAGATATGTCATTTCAAATTCCTTCATCATGCTCTTCTTAAAAAATTCAAACATTTCTTAATTGCCAGTAAATATTAAATCCTCAATATTATAAGCAAACAACGAGAATGTTACCTCCCTTTTCAATTTTCACATACAATGTATGTTCATATGGACATTTAGTGAATCACATCTTTTCAAAATGAGAATCAATGCGACTGTCCCATGCTCTCAAAGCTTGCTTCAAACCGTACAAAGCTTTCTTTAACCTGTACACTTTTTCCTCTTTACCTTTTTGAACAAAAACTTCTGGTTCCTCCACATATACCTCTTCTTGAAGCTCTCCATGTAAGAAGGCCGATTTCACATCAAGTTGATAAATAGGCCATGATTTTTGTGCTGCAATAGAAATTATAAGCCTAATAGTATCTTGACATGCCACTGGTGCAAATACCCCCTTATAATTAACCCCATACTTTTGCTTGTATTCTTTTGCAACTAGACGCGCCTTGCTTATTCACCTCATCGTTTTTATTCAACTTGGTTTTGAAAATCCATTTTACTCCAATTGTTTTCCGCCCTTTAGGAAAATCAGTGAGCTCCCAAGTCTTATTCTTCTCTATGGATTTGATTTCACTGTCCATGGCTTCTTTCCATTTCTTCTCCTTTACGACTTCCTCATAGACAATTGGATCATTATCCATAAATAATGCAAAATAAGCACTATCACTTGAGTCATAGTCCATCTCATATTCAATCGTCCAATTTGGTCTCTTTCTTGTTCTTGGATTTCTTTGATTGTGATCATGATCTTCTTCCTCTACTAGTTTCTCTTGTTGAGCTTGTGATGAGCTCTCTCCATGCTCATAGTGAGGCTGAATAGGGGCTTCAGCTTGTTCTTCTTCAAGATCCATAGGAATCTGCTGATTCACAGTGATCTTTTCTTCCATGTCCAAGTCTTCTTTTCATCAAAGATTATATCACGACTTACCACCACCTTCTTTTTCAAAGGATCATAGAGCTTGTACGCCTTAGAAGTCTCGCTTACTCCAAGGAACACACACTTCAAACTCTTGTCCTCAAGTTTCTTCCTTTTCTCATCAGGAACGTGTGCATATGCTATGCACCCAAAAATTCTAAAGTGGTCTACTGCAGGCTTCCTTCCACTCCATGCTTCTTGTGGAGTCATATCTCTAACAGAAAAAGTAGGGCTCCGGTTGAGAATGTGAACGAACCACACGATAGCTTCTAGCCATAATTCCTTCGGGACTTCTCCTTTATTTATTAAACTTCGAACCATGTTGAGAATGATCATGTTTTTCCTTTCGGCCACACCATTTTGTTGTGGTGTATATGCTGCTGTTAACTGCCTCCTTATGCCCTTCTCTTCACAAAATTTAATAAACTCGTTCGAGCAGAACTGTCCACCTCTGTTAGTTCTTAAAGCCTTGACTCTTTTTCCAGTTTCCGTCTTCATAGTAGCACAAAATTTCTTGAAGCAATCAAAGGCTTCTGATTTGGCGCGCAAGAAATAAGTCCATGTTTTTTTTTTACTAAAAACATCGATGAGGGTCATGAAATATTTCTTGTTACCATTTGATGCTGGAGAGATCGGACCACATATGTCTGAATGAATCAACTCCAAAATTGCTTGAGCTCTTCTTGATTTTCCGGATGGAAAAGAATCTCTTTCATGCTTTGCTACTACACAGCTCTCACAAATTTCTATTGGAGGAGTGATGTCTGGCAACCCAGTCACCATCTTCTTTGAAGACAACGTCTTTAATCCTTTAAAGTGTAGATGATCATACCTAAAATGCCAAAGCCAGTTGGTATCTTCTTTTTTCACCATCAATCTTCTGCCAACAATATTTAACATCAATGGATATAGACGGTTGGTGGTCATCTTCATCTTAGCGATCGATCCTCTTTTGGCCTTCAGACCAGGAATGTAGAATACATTAGAAATTGACTCTACAAAGCCATTTCTAGTCTTGATATCTACGGTTCCTTTCCCCATCACTTGGATAGTTGAATTGTTGCCAAGACAAATCGTAGTATGAAAATTTTCATCCAGAGTTGAGAAAAATTCCTTATAACCTGTCATATGGTTGCTGCATCCAGAGTCTACGACCCATACACCTTGATCTGCAACCTTCATAGCATGGAATGACATTAACAATGTTTCTTCTCCTCTTTTCTTGTCACGACCCAAAATAGATAACTTCAAGCCGTGACTAACGTGAATTGTGACATGAAATGTATAAACGAGAAATTCACAGAAAAACATTCATTTCAAAAGAAAAACGTTTCTTTACTAAAAGGGCTTATGTGCCTAGGTAAAAACAAGAAAAGAAAGAAAACATGATAGACAAAATGTTCTATTTAGTATGACTAGACTGACGCCCCGGGACACGCTTCCTCTGTGACAACCCACATCGATCAACGCGCCCTCTCTTGACTCGACGCCTCACGTACCTGAAAAAAAAAGAGTATAGCAAGAATGAGTATAAGAATTATACTCAATAAGCCACCTACTTGTAGGCTCTTACCGCATCCTAATCTTAACAAACCCCCACGGAACTCTACATTAGCTCTAGGGCATCTGGATTTCGTCTTAGGACCTTGGGACTTGCCCCTCACGACAACTTGGTTCTTTGTCCTTTCATTTAAAGATTTTTAAGAACTCCCTTATGCTGACCTGTGTAATGACTGGTGCCCTATGAGTAGCTACCTTGGCATGGCTCTGAGACTATCTGGTATCTTACCTAGGAAGTGAGCTGCAACCCTCTAGACCCATGACAGTCCCCCTGGTCGGAGAGAGCTACCCCCCTTAACCCATCCAGCTAAATGGTCTATACGACGTGGGCACACGTTTCCCATGCTAAAACGGCTAAGAATAGTCAGATTCTGATCAGGAACCCCCTGTTCCCCCACGAAGCTATGACACCAATCACACACCAGTAGCCTAAGGGTACCCTAATGGGCTTCATACACCGTGGTAGTCTGTTGCTATACTAGGGAAAGGATTAGATCTAATATCTTAGTACCTGATTACTCTAACCAAGAATCCCTAGACTTATTCATAATCGTGAGTCATGAAAATTAACTGAGTACATACATACTATGATCCAAAAACATCAAACACATTTCATGCAAAGTAAACGTACAAGCTCAACGGGGTGATAACATCCATCAATTCCCGGAGCGCAGAGTTCGCAATTTCTCATCCTCCATTCAGCATGAAAATATACATATGCATAATAAGCGGGAATCTAAAAGCATATCAGCAGTACCCAAGTAACTCTCATAACAAATCACAACTTGCATCTTACTTTCAATAATCTATTACCTACGATCATTAACGGAAAGCTACAACCTAAGATATTCAAACTAGCATGCATGAATTCCAAGCGATTCCTACAAGTATTACTCCCTAAAATTCCGTGTGGTGACTTACCTGGATGGCGCGTGCCCTTACGCAGCGTTTCCACACACTTGGCGTATCGAGAGGCGGTGATTTTTTCCTCAATTAGGTCCTATTTCATATAAAATGGGTTTAGGATTGGAATCAGGAGGAAAATAGGGAAAACAGAAGTCGAACGGGCCAAAAATCAGCTTATACGCGCCTCCACGTGCCGGGGAGCGCCCACTCGCAGATTCCACACTCGAGTGTCACGCGCCCAGAGATTTCTGCAGTCGTGGGTTCGGGTCGGAAGCAGTGGTTCGGGTGGACCGCGGGTCGTTGGCTCGGCTCGGTTCGCCGTGCGGGTATCGGGTCAGCCGAGGAGTGCGGGTCGGGTTGCGAAGCTGGGGACGTGTGTCGCAGGAGAGCTGGAGCTACGTTTTCCCAGACGGCACTCGACGCGTGTCCAAAGGTGATTGGCGCACGCGGGCCTCTAGTTGGTTGGCACGTGGCACGCCAGCGGCTTCTCTCTCCTCCTAGCAGAAAATCAAGATTTTCCGATTAGTTTTTCGAGGTTCTCTCCATTTTCTATCTTTCGCTTCTTAATCCAAACAGAAATAATTTCTTCAACAAAGTTTTAGATCATCTATCAACCTACGTGCTAGTATTTTTTTCTTGATTTTTGCTTAGTCATACGGTGAGTTATGAGCGTCGGAAAGAGGTCCGGTAACATCCTTACCGTTCTTGGAAAGGTTCTCAGATCCCGACGTTTCGTCCGATTTCCTCACCAAGATCAGCAGTGTATCTTCCCTGGATGAAGGTAGTAGACTTAATCATTCTACTCCTAAACAAAAATCTCAGATCTGGAAGGTATAGTTCGAAATCTTACCTTGCGGGTTTTCCTTATGATCTTGACAAAAGAGGGGGAAATCTCAACACGAGTTCTTACTTCACTCCAAGAAGAACTCTAGAGTGCACGTCTACGTAAGAGATGGATTCCGTCGGCGACTCTCCTGAAAAACTCCGGCTATTCAGTTTTCTCTCTCAAACTTTCTCTCAATCCTTCTCTCTCACACTTCTTTCTTTTGCAGGAATTCTGTGGAGGACCTTCGAGACCCCTATAATGGGTTGAGGGGTAAAATGTCCATTTTGCCCCTCGACTGTTTTTTTTTTAATATTTTTTTTAATTTTTTATGTTACATTTCTCCACAAAGTTGGATTGATCTCTTTTTGAAGCCTGGTATAACATTCATTTTTGTAATGTTTAAGGCATCCACATCTATAGCATTCCACCTTAGACTTGTTAAAATGTCTCTTGCCTTTATTGTCATAATCATCTCTATCTAGATCTGCTGACCTACCAACATCTTCACTTCTTTCTCGTCCGCCTCTCCCACGACCTCTGCCTCTTCTTTGACCTCTACCTCTAGAGCTTGAAGTTTCACCTAGTGTGGATATCTTTAAGGCTGTCATCTCCTCTATTGCACTTGTACGATTGAGCTTCTGCTCATATACTAGTAGGGAGCTTTAGAGTTCATCTATTTGCATCTCTTCGACATTGTTTGCTTCTTCAATAGAACATACAATGTAATCGAACTTTGAAGTTAAAGATCGCAAAATCTTTTCTACAACCGTAACATCCGTGATTGAATCACCATGCATCTTCATTTTACTTGCAAGACTCATAACCTTGCCAATACAATCATTCACCGTTTCTCCCTTTTGCATTTGGAGAATTTCAAAGTCTCTTCTAACCACTTGAAGTTGAGCAAGCTTTACTCTCATTGAGCCTTGATGCTTCCTTCTCATAGAATCCCAAATTTCCTTGGATGTTTCTTTTGAAGCATTGTTTCCAAGATAGTCCGATCAATGGACTGAAATAAATAGTCCTTGACCTTCAGGTCCTTCAACTTCGATGCTGCCAATTGTTACTATTGAATAGCTGAGAGTACCTCGCCTTCATTTGGCTCTACATAACCCGTCTCCACCATATCAAAAAACTCCTTTGATCTAAGAAAATTTTCCATCAACATCGTCCAATGATCATTGTGACCATCGAACCTCGGGATGACAGGCTGAATGTAGCTCTCAACTTACTTGTCTTTCTGCTACCATTCTTGCTGCTGCAAGATCGCTCTGATACTAGTTGTTGGTGACAACAGAGAAATTTGGTAGAATTCTTTGAGAGAAAAGAACTTTAAAAAAATATGAAGGAATGCTCGATTGATTTTCTATACCTTCCCCGAATGCCAACATACATACATATACATATATATATATATAGAGAGAGAGAGAGAGAGAGAGAGAGAGAGAGAGGTAATTTGGGACATTCCTTATTACCATTCATTATCCAAAAATTATGCACCTATTCAATTAGGAACTAATGAATCTATTCATACATGTATCTACTTGTGACCCTTCAACACATCATGTATCTACTAGTGATCCTTCAACACATGCTTTCCATAATCAAATAGGTTTGCGATCTTGAAACTTTGTGGCCTTCTAGAAACTCACATAGCTGTAGAACTAGGCCCGAATTTTTTAGAGCTTAGACAACTGTCTGTGGTAACTTATTAGAATAAGGATGCATTAAGAGTCTACAAGTAGAATGCTTACTAATGATTTTTATACTCACCCCTTTCTCCATTATTTTTCAAGAATATGAGCTACCAATCGAGGTGGAGGAGCGTTCTAGAGCCGTGTGGTATTAGAGGGGTTATCCTAGGACGTTAGTCCGTCTTTATATTTTGTCTTTTATATTTTGTTTGTAATAGTATCTCAAACTCATTTCTGATTTGTAATAAATTTTAACAATATCAATTTGTAATTGGATTTTGATTTATTTTTAATTATACTTTGGTATTTAATTTTTGCAAAATTTTATCATATTTTGTTCTTGTTTGTTTTATTTTTAATCATACTCAAAAGTCGTGTCCTAATTTTCGTTGAAAATTAATAGTAGGAATACATTTAAAATTTAAAATTATTATTAAAATTTTTAAAAGTTTAATTTTGAAAAATGGTATAAAAGTTTTAAGGATATTCGTATTATATTTAGCACAAATCTAAGTTTTTTTTTTTTTTTTTTTGGAGTTTTGAACACGATATGACATAGCGCACAAGAAGTTCAAATCGCTTAACCAAAAGCTTTGATCGATATACCTTTGCGACTCATTGACAAAAAGACTTGCGCCTTCCAGTTCCATTTATGGTTCTAGGGCTTTACAATTGGGAAAAAGACGGAAACGTAAAAACCCTAATTTCCTTCTTTTTAATTTGGGGACACCAGCCCCTCCGATCTTCTCTCTGCCGGGGCACCGAAACAGATCCGCGGCGACGTTCTCACCTTTGGCAGTAAACCCAGATTCCTGACGGACACCCAGCACACGGCAGATCCGGCGGCGCGGGCGGCGTTGAGAGACCCTCGAACGACCAGCTGCGAACAGGGAGACCCACAGCAGCGGGACCTCTCAATCTGCGACGGTGAGCCTAAATCTGACAGCCGCGGCTCCTACCCACAACCCTTACAAACCCTCCACGCCTATTTCGATCATTGGGGAGTTTGAGAGAGAGTTTATCGAATTCGTTCTTTCTTGTTTTCAATTGTGGAATCTGCTTTAAATCCTGCTGGTCTTACTCGTACACAATGACAGATACAGGTGAAAATCAGCAGCCTGAACAAGGTATTAGCGATTTTTTCTCTATCCAAATATTTTAACGTGTATATAAGTTTTCGCATTTTCATCAAGAGTTCTTCTTCTTTTTTTTTTCTTTTTTTTTTTTTTTTTTTTTTTTTTTTTTTTTTTATGTTTATGATTTTTCTGAAATTAGTCACTCTCCATACGTTTTTAATTCTTTGATCTTCAGTCTGTAGCTTCTTCAAAAAACCCACAAAGAACAAAAACATTAGAAAGCGGACGGTTGATGAAGATGAAGAGGAGTCTAAAAGTACTGAGACTTCGGTGCTGCAAAATCAGAAAAAAGCCCCCAAGACAGATAGCAAACTTTATTTTTCTTCTGGGCCTTCTAAAAGTAACTTGACTAATGAGTCAAATGTGGAATCTGATAAACCAATTTTCCAATTTGAGTCTTCAAAAGAAATTCAAGTTCACCATGATAGCAGAGCCACTGCAACATTAGAAACAGAGACTGATTTCTCAAGAGATGCACGAGCCATCCGTGAGAGGGTTTTGAAGCAAGCTGAGGAGGCTTTAAAGGGCAAAGGCAAGAGTTCTGGGGGTGAGAAGTTGTATAAAGGGGTCAATGCGTATGTGGATTACAAGGCTGGCTTTAGAAGGGAACATACAATTTCAAGTGAAAAAGCTGGTGGAGCTCATGGGCCGCTTAGAGCTTCTGCTCATATAAGAGCTTCTGCGAGATTTGATTATCAGCCTGATATTTGCAAGGATTACAAGGAGACTGGTTACTGTGGTTATGGAGATGCATGCAAGTTTATGCATGACCGAGGAGATTACAAGTCTGGGTGGCAGTTGGAAAAGGAATGGGAGGAAGTGGAAAAGGCAAGGAAGAGAAAACTAGCCATGAAATCTGATGACGGTGATGAGGATGCTGCAGAACAGAGTGATGAAGATGAGGAAGATGCCTTGCCCTTTGCTTGTTTTATTTGTCGTGAGCCATTTGTGGATCCTGTAGTGACCAAATGCAAACATTACTTCTGTGAGCATTGTGCACTAAAGGTAATACCTCTTTTCTGCTCTTAATTATGTCTTAATTATCTCGGCATCGTAAACATGTTTGATCTTGAAGTCCTTTCTTCTCTGGGAGGTTTAAATTCAGTCTTGACTCTTGTTCCTTTTATTTTGATGCTTTTTATTTTGATGGCTGAAGCATTAGGATAATAAGCACGTATGTCAATTGATTTAATGACTTTGCATGCCTAGAGTTCATATCCTCAACTGCAGAAGTTCTGTATATTCTTGATTTGTTTTTCAAGAGCACACTTTTAGATGACCATTTCATCCTACGTCATTACATATTTGATTTCTTTGAAATGAATCTTAAATCATGTTATTTTTTTTCTTTTATAAAAATTTGCAGCACCATGCAAAGAATAAGAAATGCTTCGTTTGCAATCAGCCTACACTTGGAATCTTTAACACGGCTCATGAGATAAAGAAGAAGATGGCAGAGAGTAAGTAAGTATTTTTTTTCCTTGACCTGCATTGGTCCCTTGCCAGTCTTCTTTTAATTTGTAGCAAATTATCTTTCTCTTGCTTATTTTTCATGAGAAAGTCCAGTTTTCAATATCTACTTCTTGATGAAGCTTAAATTCATGCCCTGCTACAATAAGAGCTTGGAGAATCTTGGATAACATTTCTTGAAATGTTGGAATATGTCAGTGTAGAAGTAGTTTTGGATGAATTTATTTCTGAATTTCATCCTCTGTAATGGCTTATCTTTCTGTAAATATCCCTGAAGCCCCTCAATCTACTTGTGTTCCTCCCGTTTGAAACTGAAAACCACCACTCTGACTTTATAACATTTTCCCCCCTTAGAAGTTCATGAAATAGATAGATGGTCAGAAGTGGTTTTTAACTAGGACCTTTTGTTGAACTCATAAGTGGTTTTAATTATTCAGTCTTAATTCTGGATGGTATCAAGTTGTCTACTCGAATATTATATTGTTTGTATTTACATATATGATTGTGTTATAGTGTCTGTTATTTCACTACTATTCACTTTTGGTGATTGGGTCTGATTACATTATTCTCATTGAAGTTCTGTTCATACCTACCGTAGGTTACAGATCGTTAAAGTACTTGGATATTGAATGTCCATTACAGATATTCATCTTTAAACCTTACATAACGCTTAGGCACGTGAATATCTAAATTGACTTAGATATTGATTCCAGTCTTTCTACTTCTTTTGGCATTTGGACGTAAAATTATTTGTTTGATAAAATGGGTGAATATCAGGGATTTTTAGGTGTTAATATATGCAACATTTTAGAAACAATAAAACTGTAGATAAATTAGAAATGCAAGGTTGAGTGCTGGTCTTTCACTGTTTTACCTTTAGTTTTGGAGGCTCAGATGAATTTAGCAGTAGCCTTTTGCATTAGGTACACCTTTATTAAGCATCTTGAGAATGTGAGGACTGTTGTGGAAAGTAAAGTAGTTATGGATGGAGGTCGTTATGGTTGAAGTTATGTCTCATCTTACCGTCTGAGATTCAAGGTATGGGGAAAGTTTTTGTCAACTCACATTGGGTTGGATAGAGAACTTGAAAGATTGGGATTGAGATTGTGATTCTACTTGGATCAAATGAGTATATTCATGGGTTTTAATATTCTTTTTTTTTTCCTAGTATTTTTCTTTATAGATTTTAGTGGTTAGGTTGTACTATGGGGATCATAATAATTTGGTGGTTAGATCTCATATCATTCAATTGTTGAGAGTTTATGTAGTCGAATTGTCTCCCCGAAACTAGTTGATCGAGTGACGTGTCTTATCCAACTCTTGTTTGGTTGGGTGCATTCTTTCCAACTTTTTTTTTTACTCTGAGCTAAACTTCAATTTTTTACTTCACTTTTTGTAAGTAGGTGTATACTGAGATTTGAAGAACACATAAGTTTGCTTTTCATTTTTGTTACTAAAAAGAATGGTTGAAGAACTGACTTAGTCTGAGCTCTCTGATTATGATATTATTATAATTATGTCTTTTATTTTAATAAAATGTATGGTATAATTATGCGTTAAACGGGGATTGGGTAAATTTAATTCATCCCCCCTTTTTTTTTTTTTTTTTTTGCTGAAAGAGTTTCAAATTGTATCTTTACATTCTAGATTTAAATTATGCATACGTTTTTTTTTTCCTTTTTCCAAGTTCAACAATTACATGGATGAAGATCGAACATCTTATTAGTATCTAATCTATTGAGTGACATTCGAACTGGGTTATTACATTAACATCGAACCATGGACTTAATATGAATAAGTGGACATAATAATAAGAATTCATTGAGTGTGGGATTGGTTCCGTATGCAAATTATAAAGCCTCACACTGCAACTATGAATTTTTCTTCTTAAAAAAAACAAATCTCTACTTTTCTTATAAATAAATTCGAGAAACACTATGTTCATTGATTTAAATCAATGGATTGTCTAACGTATGGAGAAGTATATTAGAGTGAAGGATATTAGAGCTTTTAGATTATGTTCGACTATAGGAGAAGGAAATTAGGGTGAAAGTAAGGCCTAATACGTTCACGACAAAGCACCAAAGTTCTTTTTTTTTTTTTTTTCGAACCTATGATTTTGAGAAAGTAAAATTTGGACTATGTGGTTCAAATAGTAAGACGGTCAACATTTTAACTTCTAAAACGATACAGATACAGACTAAATTCTCACTAAACTTATAATTTAACCTTAAAACAAGGTCACTAAATGTTTAAAGTTTTCAACACTACATCCATATATAAAAATAGAAGGAGAAATGTCTGCCTAAACAAACAAAAAGAAAAAAAAGAAAAAAAAAACCATATATTTCAATTTAATGAAATAAATAACTAACTCATATAAAAAATTAAATTACAAAAATGAAAAAAAAAAATCAGATAAACATGCTATTACACTTATAACCGACCTCATAAAAAATAACATGTTTAATTTCATACATAATTTTTTTTTTAACAAAAAAGAACATCTCGATCAAATAATATAAGTTTTTGAATAATGAAGGACTAATAAAAATCAGAATCATCGTCAAACAGATATTTGACGAAACTGATTATTTGTCAAGTTTCTTATCGAATAAATCTGTGTTTGGATTACAGTAGTTCGTTCTAACACGAGATTAGCACGTAGGATTAACAAACTTCAAGCTGAGAGTAAACAAGCCTATTAAAACTATCTACTGAGTAGTATACGTATATACATATATATGTATGTATGTACAGCATATGCAGTTGGGATAACAACTTTAGATTGTGGATTCAAATCAGCAAGCCAATCATCAAGTTCAGCGGGGTTCTGATATGGCAATAAGCAGCAATTCGGAAACAAATTGCACCACATGAATAGAATACGCACAAAATGCATGAGAGAAGCTATATGAGCATTCAAAGATTCTCAAACAATCTAACTTCCAATGAAGGACCCCCTCAATATAAAATACACAGGAAACTTGATTATTGAACTCCCGAGTTTTCAACCGTGTCCTTGACCTCCATGTGATTAGTGAGGTGCCATCTGAAAATGTCTAGAAGTTATAGACATAAGAACACTGCGTTAACAGATGGTTTTACGATTCATTGTCTCTCTTGTATAAAAAAAAGGCACCAATTGGAAAATAGAGTCATGTAGACCCTTGTTCTTTTAAGGTTTTCATTTGTGATAATGGCTTTCTATGCAATTTTCCGAACGAGTTTACTTCTTAGATCAGCACCATTGGAAGTAAGGTCAAGGCTTAATTCGACCACTTCTGGTTCACTATCCTTTAGATTCTTACCGAGCGGTAGTTCCCAGAATTTTTTGTCATCTTTCTCTACTTCTTTGATCATGGTCGTCTTGCAATGCGAGAACCTATACAAAAGAGGATAACGCATGCTAGCATGGTATTGTCAATCCAAGGATCGATCTAGAAAGACATGTTTCCTCACCCACCTCATGGCGAACGCAGTTGCTGAAGAGGTTTTGGTGTTTTCTTATAAACTTCCAAGGTCCCTCAGTAGAACGTGGGGGACCAATTTGTACATCATGTAGGAGCGCATTTAGCCTTTATACCTCCAACTCCATTTGGCAAGGAAGGCTCTGATTTTCTGGCCAAAGTCTCCCTTGTTTGACAAGAGGTTGATGGTATTCCATTGGACCAGATGTGGACAATCTCAAATAGTTTCTTAATAATCTATTACAGGATTCACCACGGGTCTAACAAAGGGCCTTGGATTGCCATCTTCAAGGCATGCAATACAGCTGACAACTGGAATCAAATTAAGCTTGGCAGGGGTGACAAGATCCAATTATGGGAGGATAAGTGGATTAACGAACGGGCCCTTAAATCATCTTAATGGATCTCTTAACAGAGAGAGCTGGTTTTCAGTCAATTCATTAAACTCCAAAATTTTGTGATCATCGAGTTCCCATTGACATCACTCTTGTTAAAAGCAATTTGGGGGACTAGACTGCCTAAAAGTGGAAGTCTTCCTTTGGGTTTTTCATTATTGCAAGGATGATCGTTTGTGTCATGGTTCTATTAGGAGGTACCCAGAAATTTTCAATTTAGTCTTCACTAATTAATTTAACTCAGAAGTGTAAGTTACCCTCTATTTGAGCCTTATAACTATTTAAAATATGATAAGATAAGGAATCAACTACAAGGAGAATAAGATTCGGATTACCTTGTTGATCGAATATCTCAAGCTAAGAACACTTTGTTTGAGATTCGAATCACTCCAGAAGCACGATTGATCATGTCTAGCTTCAATGATTCTTGTTAATCAAATATCTCAAGACAAGAACACTTGATTGAGATTCGAATCACTCCACAAGCAAGATTGATCATGTCGAGCTTGAATGATTCTACATGCAACCTAAACTACTTAGAGTTGCAAATAAACTTAGTCATTGGCTAAAGAAAGCACAAATGCTTCCTTACTATATTTTCCAAGTCTTCTTTACAAATACAACATAGATGGCTTTGTATAGCCTCAAAATACAAATACAATATAGATGGCTTTATATAGCCTCAAAATGAAACTATTAAATGCATCATACTTAATGACCATAATTAATCGTTTGTGTCATGGTCCCATTAGGAGGGTACCCAGAGATTCTCAATTTAGTCTTGACTACTTTAACTCAGAGATATAAGTTACCCTATATTTGAGCCTTATAACCGATTAAAATAGGTCAAAAAAAGAGTTCTACTTCTTCACCCACACAAACACCTTATACCTCCACTTACGAGAGACCCATAACACGATCACAGATTTGGGCCGGTAACAAATCTCGATTCAAAGAACCAATCAAGGGAGATCTGAAGGGTTCCCAACCTTTGACATCATCATCCAAAGGAGGTACAATGTTCCCTTGCCGCCTGAACTTTGCACCTTTGTGACTTCAAGGAAACTACCCCTCTTATTCTTTATTCTATGCAACCAGATGAATCTCCCATGACATACAGGTTTCCTGAAAACTGTTAGAGAACGAGGGGCTAAGAGCAAATCCTGAAGGATGTCGACAGGCCAAAACGCTACTATTTCTTCGACAGTAACTTCAAAGAATCTCCCAATGTGCTTTTCTTTGATTTTGGTATATTCCCCATGTTTTTCATTGTGAAACCAGCATGAAAATGCCCTGTTTTCTATTTTCACCATCTTCTTTTCCATTGTCAAGTCTTCTCCTCGAAAAATGGATACCAATTGTTGCTTGGCTGATTACAGAAGCAAGTTCATTTCAAGTAATCTAATAACTCACTAATTATGTCATTTTGTAAGGCATTCTACCAATAAGTAATATTCTCTTGCAGGGGGGTGGAGGAAAAAGAAAAGCCCAAGGTTCCCGAGAAAATTTCGAGAAATATGCATGAGAAATGAAAGGAGATATGAAGAACGTAAACATACCGAATGAGTATTATTCTCAAGAGAATCCACTGTGC